CTTGCCAAGGGGCCAGGCTCAGTGTCAGCCCTTCCCAGATAGCACTCCGTAGCGCTGTTTTGCCCCCTTAAGCTTTCAGCACCAATGGGGGGATGAAAATAGTAGCACCCCAATTTCTGAAAGTTCATTCTTCCCATTCCAGTGAGCCCTCACAGAAAAGCAGTCAATCACTCTTGTCTCCCTGGTTTCTATGTGAATTCCCTGTTCACCCAGTCTATGACCAGTTATTTTTATCTCAGGCACCTGACCCTGTTTTGAGTCTTCAAACTTTATAGACAGACTCCTGTGATCCGGACCTCTACTGTTTCCCCCCCTTCTCCCACCCCAGGTGAAAGAGGGGTGTCTTTGCCTTTCATTTGCCTTTTTCTGGGCCCTTGCCCAGAGAGTTTGCCTAATCATGCACTGGTTTGAGTTTTATTCCAACACTGAGCAGAAAGCTGGCTCATAAGATCGCTGTTTGCAGCCAGCTTCCCTGCTCAGACACATGAGAATTCTACCACACTTAGGCATCTCCATTCTTTTTGTGACCCTAGAGATGCTGAGGCCATGCTGTGCCACCTGGTTTCTGCCCTGCTTTGCCACTTGAACACCTTTAAGGCAGGGAAATTCCCCACCAGAGCAGACTTCTGAAAGTTCTGATTCTACCTTCCACTACTCATAACACTTTCTGGTAGCTGACTTAAGGAAGGTCCCTCCACTCTGCAGTTTATCTTCTGATATATTGCCCTGAATTTACGTTTCTGCACCTCCTACCTTACAAAAAGTGATTGCTTTTCTATTTGTAGAATTACAGCAATTCTTTTCTTAGAGCTCTGGTTGATTTTGCAGGTGTTCAGAATGATCTGATAACTACTTTGCTAAATTCCAGGGACCAGAGAAAATTAGAGTCCCCTACTCCTCTGCCATCTTAACTCCCCCTGGCTATGAGAAGTTTTAAATAAGACTTGTCATATATGAGATCTAGAGTAATTAGTGAAATAAAAGCTAAACTTGAGCTAGCTTTGCAATGTCATGGTCAATGCTAACCTCTTAGAATATAGAAAATGGGTAGTAACCAAGTAGGTTTTGTATTTTTTTATTGTATTAAACTATGTATAATACAAATGTTACCATTTTAACCAGTTTTAACTCTACAATTTATCAAATAACTTTTTAAAAAAGATTTTATTTATTTATTTGAGAGAGAGAGGGTGCACAAGCAGGGGGACCAACAGGTAGAGGGAGAGGGCTAACAGGCTCCATGAGCAGGGAGCCCAGTGTGGGGCTCAATCCCAGGACCCTGGGACCGTGACCCAAGCCGAAGGCAGACACCTGACTGACTGAGCCACTCAGGCACCCTCAAGTAACTTTTTAAATCGCATTGTGAAGCCCACCATTATGCCACATTGTGCTTCTTAGTGTAACTAGGTCTGTCTGCCCTCTTGTTTCCTGACTTCGTGGAAAATCTTCTTGTGCATAGCTTAACCCTTTTCCTGTATTCTGGATTCCATACCCATTGGCTCCATCAATCATGACTTCTTGCACCTGTATTTTCAAAATTAAGGGGTTTTTTTAGAGCAGCTTAAGGTTCACAGAAGAATTTAGGGGCAGATATGATTTCTCTCATGCCCCCTGCCCCCACACATAGTGTCTCCCATTATCAACATTCACCACCAAAGTAGTACATTTGTTACAGTTGGTGAACCTGCATAGACACATCATAATAACTCAAAGTACATGGTTTACATCAGTATTCACTCTTGTATATTCTTTGGTTTAGACAAATGTATGATACACGTCCATCAGCATGGTATTATAAAGAGTATATTCACTGCCCTAAAAATCCTTCATACCCTGCCAATTCATCTCTCTCCCCAACCCTTTGTAACCACTGATGTTTTTACCATTTCCATGTTTTACCTTTTCTAGAATGTCATATGTTAGAATCATACAGTATATAGACTTTTCAGGTTGATTTCCTTCACTTAAAAATAGTATTTAGGGATCCCTGGGTGGCGCAGCGGTTTGGCGTCTGCCTTTGGCCCAGGGCGCGATCCTGGAGACCCGGGATCGAATCCCACGTCGGGCTCCCGGTGCATGGAGCCTGCTTCTCCCTCTGCCTGTGTCTCTGCCTCTCTCTCTCTCTCTCTCTGTGACTATCATAAATTTAAAAAAAAATAGTATTTAAAGGATTACCATGTCTTTTCATGACTTGATAGCTCATTTTTTTGTTTTGCTGAATCATATTCTATCATCTGGATGTATCAGAGTTTCTTTATACATTGCATGTATTGAAAGACATCCTGATTGCCTCCAAATTTTAGCAATTATGAATAAAGCTCCTCATAAACATCCATGTGTTGTTTTTGTGCAGACATAAGTTTCTAACTTCTTTGGGTAAATATCAAGGAGTATGATTGCTGGATCATATGGTAAGAGTATGTTTCATTTTGTAAGAAACTGCCAAACAGTATTCCAGAGTGCCTGTATCATTTCTCAATGAATGAGATTCTCAGTTGCTCCACATACTCAGCAGTGTTCTGCATTTTGACCATTTTAATAGTTGTATAATGGTATCTGATTACACATCATGTAGAGCATCTTTTTTAATAAATTAATTTTTATTGGTGTTCAATTTACCAACATACAGAATAACACCCAGTGCTCATCCCATCAAGTGTCCCCCTCAGTGCCCGTCACCCATTCACCCCACCCCCCGCCCTCCTCCCCTTCCACCACCCCTAGTTCATTTCCATCTTTTTTTAATAGGTAAAGAAGACTTTGTTCTTTTCAAAATTTTATTTAAATTCTAGTTAGTTAACATACAGTGAAATATTAGTTTCAGGAGTAGAATTCATTGATTCATCACTTATGTGCAACACCTAATGTTTCTCATATAACAAATGCCCTCCTTATACTCATCACCTATCTAACCCATCCCCCCTACCTCCTTCCATCAACCATCAGTTTATTCTCTCTCCTTTCTTAATATTTATTTGTTTATTTATGAGGGAAAGAGAGAGAAAGAGAGAGCACAAACACAGAGGGAGAGGGAGAAGCATTTAAAAATTTTTAAAAAGAGTTAATTGCTATACATCCTTATCATGGATCTATCCCTCAAACAAGGCTTCATATAAAAAGCAAATTGTAAAATAATATAGTTAATATGAGACCATCTGTGTTAAAGCAGACAGAAGGTTGGGACACCTGGGTGGCTCAGCAGTTGAGCATCTGCCTTCGGCTCAGGGCATGATCCTGGAGTCCCAGATCAAGTCCCGCATTGGGCTCCCTGCAGGGAGCCTGCTTCTCCCTCTGCCTGTGTCTCTGCCTCTCTCTCTCTGTCTCTCATGAATAAATAAATAAAATCTTTTAAAAAAAAGCAGACAGAAGGCAATATTGTGTTTTCTGTTGATGTACACACATTTAAATGAATAAATTAAAAAATCTAGAAATAATAATAGTGGCTGCTAGAATTGACTGCAGTTGGTCCTTATAACCCTGTAATTTTTAAAATTTCACAAGGGATATGGGTTCATATATTACCTAGATTTTTATACATTTTAAAAAAAATCTAAAAGTGGTATAGTTAAATATTGAAGATTTTGGCTTAGGGGCACCTGGCTGGCTCAGTTAGAAGAACATGTGACTTTTGATCTCAGGATCATGAGTTTGAGAGCCCCTACATTGGGTGTAGAGATTACATACATATATACATAAAAATTTTTTAAAAAGATTTCATCTTAAAATTTGGGCAGCAGTTTTGTGGAGTAAACACTGTCCACCATCTGATTCTTAACTTTTCATATTCAAAAATTGAATTTTTAACAATGTAGCCATAATTTATCTAGTTCTGGAGATCTTGTGTACACTCACCAAACTAAAAATCCGTGGACATTGGTAACTAAAGGACTCATTTATTAATTCATTAATTTGCCATATTATACTTCCAAGGAGACCTAAATAATCATATCCATTAATCACCATACCCTACTTCCTTATGGGAAAGTCTAAACAATTACTGTTAGAAGGTTCTATTATGAGTATAAAATCAAAGCAAGGGAGTTGGATTGTTTTATTGTTTGATGTCTTTAAATTATAATTGTCTTATACAAGCTAATCTCCTTTACAGGGTTACCTGTTGAAGGGACTTGAATATTTGCATCTGTTGGTCAGCATCTTTTCCCAGAGTTAGGCTTTCTATTTTCTGCAAGTGTTACAGTTATGTCAGGAAAGATATAATGCAGATAAATTAGTTATGGTTTCTTTTCTTTAAGATTTTATTTATTTATTCATAAGAGACACAGAAAGAGAGAGAAAGGCAGAGACACAGGCAGAGGGAGAAGTAGGCTCCTAGCAAGGAGCCCGATGCTGGACTCAATCACAGAACTCCGGGGTAATGCCCTGAACCAAAGGCAGATGCTCAACTGCTGAGCGACCCAGGCACCCCAGTTATGGTTTCTTTACCTTAGTAATTCCAGCGTTGTCTTCTTTAAGCATACTATGGTCTCATTGTAGAGAATTGAAAAATGTGATACTTAACCAATAAACACTTATTAATCTTTTAGAATTAACTGTTCCTGCATATGACTACCATTTTGTATTGATTTTCACTGCAATTTTAGAGAATTATGTTGTTTACTCAAAACAGAATGTACTCTATTTGGAGCTTACTTCAGCTACAAAAGGCAATTATAGTTCTTGCAAATGTATTCTTTTTGCATAATTTCTGAACAGATTACAATGTTTTTTATATGGGAGATTTTCCATTCTAAAGGAGTAAAGTGTAGGTTTCTTAGCTAGGAATAAATATTTGGTCAATAAAATGTACAAATTAAGGTCAGAGGCAGCCTTGGGTTTGAATCTTAACTTTACCACTTAACCACTTTCCTTAGGCAAATCTCTTAACCTGCCTAACCCTGAGCTTCCTCACCTTTCTAAAAAGCCTAAAATTCAAGTTAATATTTACTGTTGAGATTATTTTCTTGATAACTTATATTTTCATGGACTTCTTTTTTTTCCAGCTAAACATGAATTCAGCTCCAACTTTCATCAACTTCCCTGCCAAAGGGAAACCCAAGCGAGGTGATACATATGAGTTGCAGGTGCGTGGTTTTTCAGCTGAACAGATTGCTCGGTGGATTGCTGACAGAACTGATGTCAACGTAAGTTTCCCTACTTTGTAGAAAGTTACTTTTCCATTATCCACTTCCATTCTTACTAGGAGGTCCTAATTGGTCTCGTCCCCATATCACTGAGGTGGTAATAGTTTGGCAGACCCTTCATAAATAGCATTTAACAGAATCATGCTGATTATAAAACATCTTTTATTACCTTATTGAATTTAATATGGAAACCACTCCTTTGACCTTATTTATTAATAAGTCCACAGACTATCTAGGGGTACTTGGCAAATACTTATTAATCTAAAAGATTTTATGTTATAAACAAAATATTATATTTATCCCATCCCATTTTAGGATACATTATAGACTATTTTGATTAGGATGAAAAGAAAAAAACTAAAATTTTCCCTGAAAGTATAACCATACTAATTTTTTTGAAGTATTTATCTATTTATTTATTTTTAAAAGATTTCACTTGTTTATTCATGAGAGACACACAAGAGAGGCAGAGACACAGGCAGAGGGAGAAGCAGGCTCCTCGAGGGGAGCCTGATGTGGGACCCGATCCTGAGACTCCAGGACCACGCCCTGAGCCGAAGACAGACGCTCAACCACTGAGCCACCCAGGCGCCCCTGAGGTTTTTATTTAAATTTTAGTTAACATACAGTGTAATATTAGTTTCAGCTATAAAATATAATGATTTAACATTTCCCCAGTGCTCATCACAACAATAACCACACTAATTTTGATTACTTTCATTTCAAATTGGTTTGACCTATATAATTAATAAGTAAATTTTATACATAAAACATTTTTTTCTTTCCTTTCCATTAGATTAGAGTAATTAGACCTCCAAATTATGCTGGTCCTCTTATGTTGGGATTGCTTTTGGCTGTTATTGGTGGACTGGTGTATCTTCGAAGAAGCAGTATGGAATTTCTCTTTAATAAAACTGGATGGGCTTTTGCAGCTTTGGTGAGTGAATTTTTTTTCAATTTTTAAAAAGATTTTATTTATTTACTTGAGAGAGAGAGTATGTGCAGACAGAGGGAGAGGGAAGGGACATAGGGAGAGGGAGAAGCAGACTCACCATGATCAGGGAGCCTGATGCAGGGCTTGATTCTAGGACCCGGGGATCATGACCTGAACTGAAGGCAGATGTTTAACCTACTGAGCCACCTAGGTACCCGAGCATGTGAATTTTAATAACTTCTAAGATTTTATTTATTATTTGAGAGAGAGCAAGAGTGATAGAGCACAAGCAGGGGAGTGGCAGAGGGAGAGGGAGAAGCAGGCTCCCTGCTGAGCACAGAGCCTGATGTGGGGCTCTATCCTGGGACCCTGGGATCATGACCTGAGCCGAAGGCAGACATTTAACCAGCTGAGCCATCTGGATGCCCCATGAGTGAATTTTAGAACAAAAATTGTTTACATGTATATAATGTTGTATGTTAAATGTATATAAATTAACATTTTATAAGTTTAAAATAAATAAGATGTATTTTAAATAACAGCATCCCTATATTTGATTTTTTTCAATAAAATTTACACATTTCTCAGGAATACTGCCTTGTGTAAAGCAAGATAGAAGTGTTTCAAATACTGATACAGTAAACTATTTAGGAGATAATAAATTATTTAAAGAACTATGATAATTTAAATAATTCTGTATTTAGATAAGTAGTAAAAAAACAATGATTTTTAAATACTTTGAATGTAATATATTTAGAAAGATAACAAGCTCAGAAAATAAACCACCAAGGGCCTGGGTGGCTCAGAGGTTTGGCGCCTGCCTTCAGCTCAGGGCGTGATCCTGGAGTCCTGGGATCGGGTCCCGCGTCAGGCTCCCTGCATAGAGCCTGCTTCTCACTCTGCCTGTGTCTCTGCCTCTCTCTTGCTCTGTGTCTCATGAATGAATGAATGAATAAATAAATAAATAATTTGCATACAATATTGTACTGTTAGGTAATATTTTGTTTTATTTCTTACCTGTAAGAAGGGATTTTATATGTTTTTATTTCTTTTTTTTAAGATTTTATTTATTTATTCATGAGAGGCACACGAGAGAGAGAGAGAGAGAGAGAGAGAGAGAGAGAGAGAGAGAGAGAGAGAGAGAAAGAGAAAGGCAGAGACACAGGCAGAGGGAGAAGCAGGCTCCATGCAGGGAGCCTGATGTGGGGCTTGATCTTGGGTCTCCAGAATCACACCCTGGCTGAAGGCGGTGCTAAACCGCTGAGCCACTGGGGCTGCCCTATGTTTTTATTTCATGACTTAAAATCAGTCTGTTTCCTCCATTATTTTTTTAGGATGGCCAGAGTTTGGAGGAACTCGTTGTACTCCATTTTGGTTCAACCTAAATGATAGAATGTCACCCCTAAGAAAATAGGCAGTTCTTTTGAGAATAATCTTCTTAAAGGCTTTTCAGTTTTTAATTTTTAAACATCTGTCAGTTTATTTGTAATTTTAAAATAGGGTTTTCCTTTCAGAGTAAATACTACTGATTCTTGTGAAATATAAACCTTAATAAAAAATTATTCATCTGAAAAACATTTTGTTCATGTATTATTTGAACAGACGTACTTTTCATAAACTTGTTAGTCTAATCAGTATAGGAGTGGCTGAACCATGTCATATAAGTATTTCCTTATTTTTTGTGTCCTAGTGCTTTGTGCTTGCTATGACATCTGGTCAAATGTGGAACCATATAAGAGGACCACCATATGCTCATAAAAATCCCCACACAGGACATGTGGTAAGGAAAGTGTAGAATTTATTTCTATTATATTCCAAAGTTAACCTTAATAATTATTATTTTGTGACACCATTGCCAAGATATAAAGGATCTAGGTTTAGTTTTGACTTTTCAATCTCTCTTGGATAATGAGCTTCACTTACTGAAATGTGCTCTTAAAAGTGGAAGGTTCCTTACCTAAAGACTCACATTTGGTGAGTCCTTTTGACTAAGCTGGCTAAGAATGAAAGTCTGCCTTGAACTAAATAAAATAATTGCTCAAGTACTTGAGCATCTACTGTTTCTAGGCACAGAAAAATCTTTGTCTTCATGGACTTTACATTATTATACTTGTACACTGAAATACTAGGTTTCTCATTATATTCTGTTGTTGAAAACATAGTATAAATACAATGAAAAGATGAATAATAAATGATACAAGTAGTGTTTATTTTGTCCATTTTATTTATTGATGAATGCCACAGACCCAATGTCTATATATTTCAGGTTAATTAATAATTTACTAGGGCTTGAAAATAGCCCATTTTAGGATTTTGAATGAAATTCAAAATTTCATTCAAATTCAAATTTTTGAATACCAAAAGTTAATATGTATTTAAAGATTCAATTTTGTCTTTTTTCTTCCCTCCAGAATTATATCCATGGAAGCAGTCAAGCCCAGTTTGTAGCTGAAACACACATTGTTCTTCTGTTTAGTATCCTCTTTTTATAATAAGTCCTTAGTGCTGCATTTTAATTTGTTTTCTCACATTCTCATATTTTCTCTACAGTAATTGAGGCTGCTCTCTTATTAATGCAAGTTGTAGTATCTTTAGAATCATATTTCTGTGTCATCTATCTTAGTATAATCAGCTGAACACCACCAGAGACAAACCTGCAGTCTAATAAAGCCAGGTTTATTGATCATTTCTACAAGGAAGACTGCACACCAAAGAACCATGGGACATCTTACCTAAGGAAAGATAGAGTTATTATAAAATTTAGAGGAAGGGTGAAGCTTAGGTAAAATGTAAATGAAGCAATGTTTTGATAAACTTAAAGAAAAACCAGGCTAAGTGAAAAGGGATCAGCATTGGGTCTGGACTGAAGTGGACACAGGGTTCTGTTTCTTGAAAACTATACAAAATTCAAATGAATATGGGATTTTGTCTTCACAAACTTTATATGAAGCTCTGTACTTTAGTTGTAAATCAGGACTATTTAGAAATTGTACTTGCATGTTGAATGACTTAGATCCTCCAGGCAAGAATGGATTGTTTCCTTCTTAGTAATATAATTTGAATCAGTCTACAATTTTAGACATCTTACTCATTATTGAATAAGAAAACAGTAGTTACTCAAAGACAGGAGTTATTTTGACATTTTGCAGCTGCAGCATGTCCTAAGTAGAAATATTATTTCCTGTAAAATTTGTAGCTGCTTTTTATGTGTTGTCCCATTCTCTTGAATGGCAGGGCTGATTGTTACTTTCTCACGTTTGAAAACTGATGCCTCTGTAAGCTGCAAGGATAGTTAACAGTAACATCAGATAAGGAAGAGTCTAAATTTCATAATATTACTGAACACAGTTTATCTCTCCTCTCCCAAATATATAAGCAGTGATTCTGTAGAACAAACCAACAAGTTAAACAAATGTAACGTTTCTAGATTTCTAGAATTGTACTTCTTGCCAAGGGGTACTAACATTGACATATTGGAATTAGTTGTAGCCCAGGCTGTTTATTATTATTTATCTAATAATAAATAACTATTCCCTATGATGAGAAGTTAAACTGGAAGAAAAATATTCAACCATATGTTCTTTCAAATCCTAAAATTTCTTTCTTTTTTATTATTTATTTATTTATTTATTTATTTATTTATTTATTTATTTATTTATTTATGATAGTCACAGAGAGAGAGAGAGAGAGAGGCAGAGACACAGGCAGAGGGAGAAGCAGGCTCCATGCACTGGGAGCCCGACGTGGGACTCGATCCCGGGTCTCTAGGATCGCGCCCTGGGCCAAAGGCAGGCGCCAAACCGCTGCGCCACCCAGGGATCCCTAAAATTTATTTCTTATTCAGAATAGCTTATTTAAACTAAAAAAAAGTTCATCCACTTCTCCCATCCCTTACTGCTCTGCTCTGGCAACAGCCCATCTGTTATCTGTATGTATGAGTGTGTGTGTGTGTGTGTGTGTGTGTGTGTGTCTGTGAAATTTGTTTTCAGATTCCACATATAAGAGAGATCATACAAATTTGTCTTTCTCCATCTTATTTATTTCAAATTATTTCAAAATTTAAGTTGAAAAAGCTTATTTATTGTTTGGTGTATTAACTGCTATAACTTGGAAATTTTTCAGTGTCTGGAAATGGTCTCAATGGTTTGAAATCAAACAGTGTAGCAAAAGAGCAGATACAATTATAAAACAAGTTATCTGTGGTTTATTGTTCTGTAGCTTTGTCCTAATTTTTCCAAAAAAAACTTGTATTTCTCCTTCATTTTTAAGAATATTTTACCATGTATAGATTTCTAGATTTCTTTAAGCACTTTGGAATTGTTATTTCATTGTCTTTTACTTCCATAGTTTCTGGGAAAAATCAGATTTAATTCTTATTGTTCTTTGAAGGCAGTGTATCTTTTTTTCTCTGATGGATTTTAAGACTTTTTTGCTAATATTTTTATTTGTATTGCTTCTATTTTCTGGGTGGCAGAATTTCCTAAATCTGTGGGTCAGTACTCTTAATTCATTTTGGAAAATGTTTGGTTACTGTCTCTTCAGTATTGTTTTTCTCCTATTTTCTCCATCCTCCCCATCCATGGCTTTCAACTGAGAGCCACTGTATGAACCTTATCATTCTTTCTGGTAGAACCTGAACCTTAATCATGGTCTCCTTAACACTGTAGGACTGCCAAAATTCTCTCCTAAGTTTTGTCCTAAATTTTTAAGTATAATTATATAAGAAGTTTAAGAAATTGGAATATTCTTACTTTTTCCTTCTGTCTAAAGGTTAAACATTATTTAAGATTTCACATACATGGGATCCCTGTGTGGCACAGCGGTTTGGCGCCTGTCTTTGGCCCAGGGCGCAATCCTGGAGACCCAGGATCGAATCCCACATCGGGCTCCAGGTGCATGGAGTCTGCTTCTCCCTCTGCCTGTGTCTCTGCCTCTCTCTCTCTCTCTCTCTCTCTCTCTCTCTGTGACTATCATAAATAAATTAAAAATTTAAAAAAAAGATTTCACATACATGTGGAACAGATAACAAGCCTATTGAAATACAGCATTTCTGTCCTTTCCAAGTGTTAATTTAGATTCCAGTTAACATACAGTGTAAAGTTAGTTTCATGTGTAGAATTTAGTGATTCAACACTTATATTCAACACCCGGTGCTCATCACAAGTGCTCTCCTTAATACCCATCTCCTATTTCACCCATCCCCCCATCCACCTCCCTTCTGGTAACCATCGGTTTGTTCTCTATAGTTAAGAGCCTGCTTCTTGGTTTACCTCTCTTCCCCCCCCCATTTTCATTTCTTTTGTTTCTTAAATTCCATATATGAGTGAAATGATACGATATTTGTCTTTCTCTGGATAATGACTTATTTTGCTTGGTATAATACTCTCTAGGTCCATCCACATCATTGCAAATGGAAGATTTCATTTTTTTAATAACTGGAAAATATTCCATTATATATATAAGCTACTTCTATATCCATTCATTAGTCAATGAACATTTAGGTTCTTTCCACAGTTTGGCTATTGTTGATAATGCTGCTATAAATATTGGGGCACATATTTCCCTTCAAATCAATTTTTTTTTTATCCTTTGGGTAAATACCTAGTAATGCAATTGCTGCATCGTAGGGTAGTTATATTTATAGCTTTTTCAGGAACCTCCATACTATTTTCCAGAGTGGCTGCACCAATTTGCACTCTCACCAACAGTGTAGAAGGGTTCCCTTTTCTACATACCTCCATTCCCTTTCACCAACACCTGCTATTTCTTGTGTTGTTAATGTTAGCCATTCTGACTGGTGTAAGGTGTTATATTTCATTGTAGGGGTTTTTAAATTTATTTATTTATTTATTCATGAGAGACACACAGAGAGGCAGAGACACAGGCAGAGGGAGAAGCAGGCTCCCCTCAGTGAGCCTGATGTGGGACTCGATCCCAGGACCCCGGGATCATGACCCAAGCCAAAGACAGACACTCAACTGCTGAGCCATCCAGGCATCCCTGTTTCATTGTAGTTTTGTTGTTTTTTTTTCTTTTTTCTTTTTTTTTTTCATTGTAGTTTTGATGTGCATTTCCCTATGAGTGATGTTGAACATATTTTCATGTGTCTGCTGGCCATCTGTAGGTCTTCTTTGGAAAAATATCTATTTGTGTCTTCTGCCCATTTTTTAACTGGATTGTTTGATTTTGGATGTTGTGTTTTATAAATTCTTTATATATTTTGGATACTAACCCTTTATTAGATATGTCATTTGCAAGTATCTTCCCCCACTCCGTAAAGTACCCCTTTTTGAAAAGATTTATTTAGTTTTTAGAGAGAGAGCATGAGTGAGGGAGGGAGAGAGAGAAAGAGAAGCAACTCACTGCTAAGTACGAAGCCTGATGTGGGACTTGATCCCACGACAGAGATTATGACCTGAGCCAAAATCAGGAGTTGGACACTTAACAAACTGAGCCACCCAGCCACCCTTGTAGATTGCCTTTTAATTTTGTTGATTGTTTCTTTTGCTGTGCAAAAGCTTTTTATCTTGATAAAGTCCCAATAGTTTATTTTTGGAAATACAGCTTTTCTTGCAAGTTTGGTCAATCATATGCAAAATGGGGATTTTTTTTAGGGTGATATTTTTTCCCTTATTTTGTTTTTGCTTTCTTCGTAGTGGTTAGGAAGGCTTGCGTAATACTTTCTGAGCAATTATTTTGCTAGATTCTGTGAATGCATGATTTGTCTAAGGAGCTTATAGTATTGGGATAAATAGAGATTTACAAGTTATAAGACACTGCCTTAAATACTGTGTACTTGGGCAGCCTGGGTGGCTCAGCAGTTTAGCACCGCCTTCAGCCCAGGGCCTGATCCTGGAGACCCCGGATCGAGTCCCACGTCAGGCTCCCTGCATGGAGCCTGCTTCTCCCTCTACCTGTGTCTCTGCCTCTCTCTCTCTCTCTCTCTCTGTCTGTCTCATGAATAAATAAATAAAACCTTTAAAATAAATAAATACTGTGTACTGGGCATGATGGTGAGATAAATAAAGCGATTTAACTTTGTTAGAGGTAGGAAACTTTATGGAAGACTAAAAATCCCTTATTTTTTAAATGGTCACAAAGCCTAAAGACTCAAAACTCAAAAGTTACCATGTTGATAAGAACTAATAGAATGATACTGCTACTAGCTAGTAGTTATGAGTTTGGAAAATATCCACATATTTATCATTATTTTAACATTGTATAATTTACTACATGATTAATAAAGCAAATTATATGAGTTGCCTGATCCACTAAGCAACTTAAAATTATATTTTAAACATTTTCTTTGATTACTGTATTCATGCAAAAATGTTCACAATTCCTAAGTGCAGTGTATAGTTTGATAAATTTTCAGAAAGTGAACACAGGGATCCCTGGGTGGCTCAGCGGTTTAGCATCTGCCTTCAGCCCAGGGCATGATCCTGGAGTCCCGGGATCAAGTCCCACGTCGGGCTCCCTGCATGGAGCCTGCTTCTCCCTCTGCCTGTGTCTCTGCCTCTCTCTCTCTGTCTCTCATGAATAAATAAATAAAATCTTTAAAAAAAAAAGAAAGTGAACACAACTCTGTAACCAGCACTCAGTTGATGAAATAAAACTTTACTCATATCCCAAAGCATCCCCAATCTCATGACTCCCTCCTGATTGCTAACTTCCTACCCAAAGGTAACTACTTTCCTGATGGCTAATGATATGAATTAGTTTTACTTATTTTTTAACTTTACACAAATGAAATTATACATTAAATATATTTAAGTTAAAAAAATAAAACAGCAGATTAGGAAATTTTCACTCATGATCTAAAACCCTAATATTAAAATCTAGGTTTATTTTTGCATATTCGCTTCCATTTGCTTAGTTGTTTTGGAGGGGTGTTCCTTTGTTTGTAGTTATAGACATACTTAGTATACAGTTTGGTTTATTAATATAGGCATTTTCTTTTTCTTTTTTTAAAGATTTTATTTATTTGAGAGAGAGTGAGCACAAGCTGAGGGAGGGGCAGTGGAAGAGGAAACCTTACTCAGGGCTTGATCCCCGGACCCTGAGATTATGACCTGAGCTAAAGGCAGACACTTAACTGACTGATCCGCCCAGATCCCCCCTCATAAGCATTTTCTATGTAGTTGTATGGCCTTTATAGTTACAAAAGTTGCATGAGAATTACAGGTAAATAGAGGAAAAGGAAAAATAGTGATCATTCTTAATATTTATAGAATGGGTATATCATAATTCAATTATTTTATTGTTGAATGTTGCAAAGAATGTTTACTTGGATATAAAAGTAATTTGGCATATCTTCAAATTCCCAGAAGTAAGGTTTGAAGCAAAGTGTACAAATCTGTCAGTTTTTCTTGTTTTGTCCAAACTGTTTTCCAAAATGTTTTTGCTTTAAAAAAAAAAAAAAAAGGAGGGATCCCTGGGTGGCACAGCGGTTTGGCGCCTGCCTTTGGCCCAGGGCGCGATCCTGGAGACCCGGGATCGAATCCCACGTCGGGGTCCCGGTGCATGGAGCCTGCTTCTCCCTCTGCCTATGTCTCTGCCTCTCTCTCTCTCTCTCTCTCTCTCTCTCTCTCTCTCTGTGACTATCATAAATAAATAAAAAAATAAAATAAAAAGAATTTAAAAAAATAAATAAAAAAAGGAAGGAGGATTGCTGTCAAAATATGTGCACTGATAGCTCCAACAAATCTATCATTATGCATTCTCATTTTTTAAAACTAATTCAGTAGGCAAAGAAATTTTAGGTTGTTGTTTAAATTACTTTGGACAATAATAAAGTACATAATTGAAACATTTTCCCACAATTTTGGAATTATGCCTCATTTTATGCAATTATCTTTGCTTTCATCTTATTAAATATACTTTAATTCTACTAGCTCTTTTAATAGCATAGTTCTTATATGTAATAGAATACTACTTACTCTGGTTTCTATTCAGTTCTCCCATAGTAACATTTAATCATGATTAGGTATTTATTATTTATTTCATTACTGATATCCTTCACTAGATTGTAAATTTGTCCAAGGAAGTGTCTGTCTTTTGTACAGCTTTTAAATTCCAACAGCTAATAGCGCCTGCCAGGTAATAGTGTCAGTAAAAGTTTAGAGAGTCAGTAAGTGGGCACCTGGATGGCTCAGTCAATTAAGGGTCCAACTATTGCCTTTGGCTGAGGTTGTGATCTCATCTCAGGGTCCTGATATTGAGCCCTGTGTCGGGCTCCATGCTCAGCATGGAGTCTGCCTGAGGTCCTCCTCTTCTCCTTCTCCCACTGCCCACCCCCACTCTTTCTCTTCTCTCAAATAAATAAATAAAATCTTTTTTTTAAAGATTTTATTTATTCATTCATGATAGAAAGAGAGGCAGAGACACAGGCAGAGGGAGAAGCAGGCAGAGGGAGAAGCAGGCTCCATGTCAGGACCCCAACGTGGGATTTGATCCCGGGACTCCAGGATTGTGCCTTGGGCCAAAGGCTGGCACTAAACCACTGAGCCACCGAGGAATACCCTAAATAAAATCTTTTAAAAATAAAATGAAACAATGCATATGCTAGTAAATCACAGCTCTTGTTAACTGAGAACACACAAAGATATTGGTGGTATATTGCAGGATAGAAAGCTCATTCTAAGAAAATGTATATGGAGCACCTGGGTGGCTCCGTCTGTTAGGTGTCTGCCTTCAGCTCAGGTTGTGATCCTGGGGTCCTGGGATTGAGTCTTACATCGGGCTCCCTAATGAGAGCCTGCTTCTCTTTTTTTTTAATTTTTTTTTTTATTTATTATAGTCTCACAGAGAGAGAGAGAGAGAGGCAGAGACACAGGCAGAGGGAGAAGCAGGCTCCATGCACCAGGAGCCCGACGTGGGATTCGATACCGGATCTCCAGGATCGCACCCTGGGCCAAAGGCAGGCGCCAAACCGCTGCGCCACCCAGGGTTCCTGAGAGCCTGCTTCTCCCTCTGCCTGTGTCTCTGCCTCTCCCTCTCTCTCTGTCTCTCATGAATAAATAAAATCTTTAAAAAAATACCCTGTAACAAAAGCCTATAGAAATGATCAATCTTTACATGTATCTGGATATAAAGAACCTCAGTAAGAAAAAATAATCATTGGAGAAGACAACTTGTCTAAGCAACTAAAGGCATGATGAATGGGCATCATCCCTAAAAAATCGGCTATTGACAAGAGAGTGCAAGATGATAGTAAGGGATAAATAGACAAGCTATACAGCCAATTATAAGTTCAGGCCTTATCTGAATACCTATTTTTCCCTTTCTGTTTAATCATACTCACATGAAGTAGCCTACAATGTGCATGAGTGTATGCAGAATTGATTTGGGCATTTTTAACTGCTGTTTGTATTTGCTAAACTGCAGCATGAATCTCTTTTCTACTAGAACACATTATATTTACTTTAAAATTCAACTCTGCTTATTTTAGCATTCAACCATGCCATGTTTAACTTATTTGCATGAGCAGGTATGTTTTGTATTTTTAAAAAAGATTTTATTTATTTATTCATGAGAGACACAGGGAGAGAGGCAGAGACACAGGCAAAGAGAGAAGCAGGCTCCATGCAGGGAGCCCGACATGGGACTCCATCCCGGGTCTCCAGGATCAGGCCCTGGGCTGAAGGCTGCCTTAAACCCCTGAGCCACCCGGGCTGCCCTATTTTGTATTTATGTAGTTCCCATATTAAGGTGATTAAAAGTGAGGTAATGACATAATAGGATTCTCTTTTTTTATTAGAATAGGACAAACTTAGGTAGTTTAGTAGTAATTTGTGCTTTAGAGGTTGATTGTTGACATTTTGGAGAATTTTTGAAAAGTTACTTTTTTTTGAAAAGTTATTTTTAAAATAAAAATTAGTTGCTGTTCTTTCCAAATGGTACACATTTCAAGTGTATTATGGAGGGTGGTTGAATATTCAAAAAGGATGTTTTAAAATTTATTAGGGCACCTGGGTGATGGAGTTGGTTAAGTGTCCAACTCTTGATTTCTGCTCAGGTCTTGATCTCAGGGTTATAAGTTCAAGCCCCACTTTGGGTTCCATGCTGGGCATGGAATCTACTTAAAACAAAATAAAAAATAAATAAAAAATAAAAAAAAACAAAACAAAATAAAATAAAGTATATACAAGGCTGGAGCAATAGTTGAAAGAATGTCCAAGAAGGTTATTTCAAAGTACATGTCAGGAGAACTCATTTCATCTGTAAATTATAGTGGGGCATTTGTTTAAAATACTGATTTTCATTTGTATAAATGAAGTAATTTTCCAATCTTAATATTTTTTATTATACCTTCATAGTAAATAATTGTAATGCTGTATAGATACAAGATTCCCTATTTTATTTTTTTAATCACCCATTTTTATTAAAGTAAAATTCACATAACATACAATTGTTTTAAAGAGCAATCCAGTGACATTTAATGCATTCATAAGGATTCCTTATTTTAGTAATAGTTTTCTTATAATTGAAAGTTGAAGATTTATATATTCATTGTAATTTTCTAAATGAAAGAATAGGAATATTAAAGTGCTATGTCTTTTATGTCTGTGTGCATTTCTCCTTAAACAATTTTTCTAAGATGGTGGGGTTACTTTAGGGATGGTGCTGTTATGTGAAGCTGCTACATCTGACATGGACATTGGAAAGCGAAAAAGTAAGTTATGCTGAAATGTAACAATTCAACATTTTTTATTTAATTTTAATTTTTTATTGAAGTATAGTTGACAATGTTATATAACAGTTCTGCCTTTAATACAGAAAAAAGAATGTCCTCTTAATCATTTCCCCACCTTAGTTATTTCATATTCTTAAAAATGTTATTTTATATTCTTTATTATTTTAAGAATAATATATACTTATTGTAAAAAATGTGGGGGGAAGTCAACATGAAACATTTAGGGGGAGAGTTGCCCATTATTCCATCATTGAGAAGTAAAAATTTTATTATTTTTTAATATATTTTTTAAGATTTTATTTATTCATGAGAGGGGGGGGAGAGAGAGAGAGAGAGAGAGAGAGAGAAAAGCATAGGCATAGGCAGAGGGAGAAGCAGACTCCATGTAGGGAGCCCGACATGGGACTCGATCCGGGGTCTCCAGGATCATGCTCTGGGCTGAAGGCGGCACTAAACCGCTGAGCCACCCGGGCTGCCGAGAAGTAAAAATTTTAATGTTTTAATAGAGTTTCTCACATTTACAAAAACAAATGTAAAGCTTCTTATAAGATTTTGAATCTGGGGCATCTGGGTGGGTTGATTGTTGAGCATCTGCCTTTGGCGTGATCCTGGGGTCCTGAGATCAAGTCCCACATCAGGTTCCCCACAGGGAGCCTGCTTCTCCCTCTGCCTATGTCTCTCATGAGTAAATAAATAAAATCTTTAAAAAATAAAATAAGGGGATCCCTGGGTGGCTTGGTGGTTTGGCGCCTGCCTTTGGCCCAGGGCACGGTCCTGGAGTCGCCGGATCGAGTCCCGCATCGGGCTCACGGCATGGAGCCTGCTTCTCCCTCTGCTGCTCTGCCTCTCTCTGCTCTCTCTCTCTCTCTCTCTCTCTCTCTCTCTCTATCGTGAATAAATAAATAAAATCTTAAAAAATAAAATAAGATTTTGAATCTTGTACCCCCCCCTTGTAACTGGAGTTAAGTAATTCGCTGATAAATATTTCCCTACACATAATTTAAAAGTTGTACTTTGTATTGTAATTTACTTAACCATTCTGATTCTGCTAAACATTTAGGTTTATTCCCCTAACTTCCATTATAATAAATATTTCCTTAGGGACTTCCATAGTATATTAAGCTTTATTCTCATTTCAATTAATTCCCCAAGGTAGATTTCTAGAAGTAGAATCACTGTAAAGTCCTCTATATTCGTATTTTTAATCCCCTTGATGTTTTAAACTGATGATGCCAAATTGTTTCCCCAGATGTTATGATAGTTTAGATTCCTACTAGTGATATTTAAGAATTGTTTAAAAGAAAAAAAGAGGGACGCCTGGGTGGCTCAGTGGTTGAGCGTCTGCCTTTGGCCCAGGGCCTGATCCTGGAGTCCTGGGATCTAGTCCCACACTGGGCTCCCTGCATGGAGCCTTCTCTCTCTACCTGTGTCTCTGTGTCTCTCATGAATAAATAAATATTTATTTTAAAAAAAGAAGGGGATTCCTGGATGGCTTAGCGGTTTAGTGCCTGCCTTCGGCCCAGGGCGTGGTCCTGGAGTCCCGGGATCAAGTCCCACATCGGGCTCCCTGCGTGGAACCTGCTTCTCTCTCTCTGCCTATGTCTCTGCCTCTCTCTCTGTGTCTCTCTCATGAATAAATAAATAAAATCTTAAAAAAAGAATGCTCATTTTACAGTAATTTTGTCATGACTAGCTAAGCTCATTAAAAATGTGTGTACATATCTCCTAATCAGATAAGGGAAAATGCTCCATTTTTTTTGTACTTCTTTGGTTATTAATGAAGTTGAATGTTTTTTTTAGACATTTATCAAGCAGTTTGTGTTTTCCCTTCCATAACAAGTCTTTTTGTCTTTTGCCATTTATCTATTATTCTTAGCACTTTTTCTGTTGGTTTGGATGGACTCTTTATATATTTATTTTAAATATTTATACATAGGGGCAGCCCCGGTGGAGCAGCGGTTTAGCACCACCTGCAGCCTGGGGTGTGATCCTGGAGACCCGGGATCGGTCCCGCGTCAGGCTCCCTGCGCATGGAGCCTGCTTCTCCCTCTGCCTGTGTCTCTGCCTCTCTCTGTGTGTGTGTCTATGAATAAATAAATAAAGTCTTTAAAAAATATATTTATATATATTTATATATTAAAATATGTTTAAATCAGAGTTTTTCTTTTATGGCTAAAAAGGTAAATGTCATCAAATTAACCTAGCTAAATATAGTATATATACTTTTTCCTTTGAGAAAAGATGATGGCACTGGATTTCAAATTTGAGATATTCTTATTTTGCTGAACTGAAATGAATTTTTACATATTGCAAAAATAGAAGTAGTATATCAATTTTTTAATCTAGTCAACATCTTTTCATTGCCTAACTTTTAAAAACTTGCCTATTTCAGTATTCATTATTGGGAAAAGCCCCTTTGGATACTACACTGGTAGCATGAATTTAAATTATAAGACATTTTGGTGACATATATTAAAATAATCACAATTTGATCTACTCCTAAGATTCTAACCTAATAATCACAAATAATAATAATTACTTAACATTTATTATGTACTAGAAACTGCCCTAAATACTTTTAGATATATTATGTGAAAAACATAGAATACATATATATATACACACACACACACAGAGGGGTGTGTGTGTGCATATTAGATAATAAAGACTTCTTTTTTTAACATTGTATTTATTTATTCATGAGAGACATACAGAGAGAGAGGCAGAGACACAGGCAGAGGGAGAAGCAGGCCCCATGCAGGGAGCCTGATATGGGACTCGATCCCGGGACTCCAGGATCACACCCTGGGCTGAAGGCAGGTGGTCAACTGCTGAGCCACCCAGGGACCCCTGATAATAAAGACTTCTAACACAATGGTCATGTGTTAATACTCAGAAAGAATATATATTTAAAATTTACATTTTAACCCCTAATCATATTATGTGAAAATTTTAAAAGGAAAAAGAATTGTGCCTAAGTATAACAAGACTAAGAGTTGTTTTTAGTGTCAGCCAATAAGTATGTTTCCCTAGAACTTCCACTGTTGTAGCACACATGCTTTCCCACATCCCCACCTTTATGCTTCTTAGCCAGTCTTAGTCTTTAAGACTCGAAGAGCCTCTAGTTATGGGAATCACACTTGAGCACTGTGGGGTCAGCATCCAGAGTTAAGTTTTTTTTTTTTTAAGATTTCACCTATTTATTCATGAGAGACACAGAGAGAGTGAGGCAGAGACACAGGCAGAGAGAGAAGCAGGCCCCATGCAGGAAGCCTGACATGGGACTCCATCCCCCGACTCCAGGATCACAACCTGGACTGAAGGCGGCGCTAAACCGCTAAGCTACCCGGGATTGCCCCTAGAGTTAAGAGTATTAATTGCTATGCTAAATCACAGCACATGAGATTAATGGAAGGAGCTCTGAATTTAGGACTAGGATTCATGGTATTTTCCTCCTCATTATTCAAATGAGGAATCCATGTTGAATGAATTCCTTATATAGGCATTGTAGTTACCTATAAATAAAGTACTTTCAACTGAGGCTGTCAAGTGATATTGTCAGATGTCTTTAAGTCAATACAATAAGGCCACTTTTAAGATTTCCAAAGAAATTTAATAAGTGAGTGATTTATTGTCAGTAGTAAAACTTTCTAACATTAAATTCTTGTTTAAAGATTTATTTATTTATTAGAGACCAGGCGAGTGCTCACATGAGTTGGGGGAGAGGGAGAAAAGCAGACTGCTGAGCATGGAGGCTGACTCGAGGTTCAGTCTCACAACCCTGAGATCATGACCTGTGCTGAAATCAAGAGTTGGATGCTTAACTGAGTCACCAAGGCACATCTTTCACACTAAAGTCTTCACTGTAATGGCTTTAAAGGAATTTTTTATTTCATTTATTAGAAGATTTTATTTATTTGACAGCATAACCAGAGAGAGTGACAGGCAGAGGGAGAAGCAGGCTTCCAGCTGAGCAGGGAACCCGATGCAGGACTTGATCCCAAGACCCCAGGATCATTACCTGAGTCAAAGGCAGATGCTCATCCACTGAGCTACCCAGGCACCCCAGGAATTTATTATTTCATGCAATTAAATTGCACAAGTGTATAAATGGAACTACTCTATTATATTGTAATGGATCAAATTAAATGGAAAGACAGATTCCTGAAGATATAAGAATGGGCATGAATGGGACGCCTGGGTGGCTTAGCGATTTAGTGCCTGCCTTCCACCCAGGGTGTGATCCTGGAGTCCCAGGATCGAGTCCCACATTGGGTTCCCAGCATGGAGTCTGCTTCTCCCTCTGCCTGTTTCTCTGCCCCTCTCTCTCTCTCTCTCTCTCTCTCTCTGTCTTTCATGAATAAATAAAATCTTAAAAAAAAAGAATGGTCATGAAAATTTTTTGGAAAATTGAGGTTTACCACTAAATTATGTCCTTTGCTTTTCATTCTTGGAAGTGTAGACTAAAATTTACGCCGTAGTTCTTTATTATACTTAACATGCTCGTTTTACACTTCTTTTGTTTTTCTACAGTAATGTGTGTGGCTGGTATTGCACTTGTTGTATTATTCTTCAGTTGGATGCTCTCTATTTTCAGATCTAAATATCATGGATATCCATATAGGTATGATTATTTTACATTTATATAGTGACAATGATTAGAGTTGATGTTGCTCTTTTTGCTTTACCTCCAAAGTATCCTAGCTTCTAAAGCAGACATAGGCTTTAACTTAGGTATGTTGCATGTAAAAATTAACTCAAGATAAATAGTATATATTGGACAATAGTATGTGATTTCTCAGGAACATCTTTTTTTTTATTTTAAATATTTTATTTATTTATTCATGAGAGACACAGAGAGAAAGAGAGAGGTAGAGACACAGGCAGAGGGAGAAGCCGGCCCCATGCAGGGAGCCCGACGTGGGACTCGATCCCGGGTCTCCAGGATCGCGCCCTGGGCCAAAGGCAGGCGCTGAACCGCTGAGCCACCCAGGGATCCCTCTCAGGAACATCTTTGAGGGTCATTCTTACATCGTCTAATTTAATCTAGAAATCTAAAAAACACTTAATGATTAGAATATTTTATACTTTGCATACTCTACTTTCTCTTGAGCAAATGATTTTGAATGTATTTTAAAATTACTCACACCTCTACTTTTCAGGGCTCTTTATTTTTTTTTAATTTTTATTTACTTATAGTCAGAGAGAGAGAGAGAGAGGCAGAGACACAGGCAGAGGGAGAAGCAGGCTCCATGCACCGGGAGCCTGATGTGGGATTCGATCCCGGGTCTCCAGGATCGCCCCCTGGGCCAAAGACAGACGCCAAACCGCTGCGCCACCCAGGGATCCCTTCTACTTTTCAGGGCTCTTTAGAGCATAAACAGAACATTTGATTAGAACCCAGTTTATAGAGAGTATAAGAAAGATTGTTTAAGAAGATCTAATTGGATCTTCATAGAGATCTCTAAGGCTCAGGAAAGAAATTACTCTCCTGATCATAAATTCTTGATTTTATTCTGTTAATAGCCACAAGAAAGGTACCTACATAATGGGGGATGTTGTGAGTTTTAAAATCTGAGTGCCAGGTACCATAATTCATGTTCTTTTAATATAACAATGTCCTGTTGTATAAAGGATTATGAACAATAAAGATAAAGTATATCAAGTGATACTTTTGAAAGAATTCATTCTTCATATTACCTTTAACATGTTTTTAATAGATAATTTTTAAAATCTACTTATTTAGAGAGCAAGTGTGTGTACAAGGGGAGGGGCAGAGGTAGAGGGAGAATCTCAAGCAGGTTCCATGCCCAGTGCAGGGCCTGACTTAGGGCTGAATCTCACAATCCTGAGATGATGACCTGAACAAAAGCAAGAGTCAGGTGTTTAACCAACTAAGCCATGCAGGCGCCCCCTTAGTGGACAATTTTGAACAACTCCCTGATTGATTCATTTTGACATTACTGCATGTCTTTTGATAAATGAACAATATAAATTAATCTTCTTTAGCATTTTTCTTGCAAAATTAATTTTATTTCAATTTTTTATTTAAATTCCAGTTAGTTAATATATAGTGTAATATTAATTTCAGGTGTACAATATAGTGATTCAACACTTCCTTATAATACCTGATGCTTATCAAAAGTATATTATTTAATACCCATCACCTATTTAAGCTATCTCCCCTCCCTCACCTCCATTCTGGTAACCCTCAGTTTGTTCTCTATAGTTAAGAGTCTGTTTCTTGGTTTGCCTCTCTTTTTTTCCTTTTGCTTGTTTTATTCCTTAAATTCCACTTATGAATGAAATCATATAGTATCTGTCTTTTTCCAACTGACTTATTTCACTTAGCATAATACTCTCTGGCTCATCCATGTCATTGCAAATGGCAAGATTTCATTCTTTTTATGGTTGAGTAATATTCTGTGTATATATGCCGTATCTTCTTTACCCATTTGTCAGTTGATGGACCCTTGAGCTGGCAAATGTAACTTAATTGTAAGAACAAAACCTATCAGAACTTTTGATTCTTGATTTATTCTTCTATGTATGTATATTTTAAAATAACTTCTCCTCTATAGATATAATACAACCTGGATACAAGGGTAATCTTGCTGGGATTTCTGTTGTTTATTTTATCACCATGGTTGATCCAATTATTAATCAGTATCTCTTCATGAGATATTTTAACAAGTTAATGTCTATTTCCTTCTCTCATAAGATTATCTTAATATCTTGGTGTTTCTCACTTTTTGTTATTAATACACAGTTTATTAAATGTGCACCCAAATGCTGTTTTGTCTAAAATCAAGATATTTATTAGAAATAAAGCCTTTTGTTTGTTCAGAAACTAATAGATTCTTTAATATTTTTGTTTCAGCTTTCTGATGAGTTAAAGAGGATCCTAGAGATATGTAGACACTGGAGTAATGGAAATTGAAAAATGTATGTGTGTTTGAAAAGAAGAATGCAATTTGTGTATTTTGTATTACCTCTTTTTTTTTCAAGTGTTTTTAAATAGTTAATCATTTAACCAAAGAAGATTTGTAGTGCCTTAACAAGCAATTTCTTGTCAAAATCATGAAGTATTTGGATACAGTTCTCTTAACCTTCCCTTCCTGATGAACTTTATGTAACATTTAATTTAGTAGAATTAAGTACATTATAAAAATTTTATAACTACATTTTAATTAGAACAGGGTTCAAAACTGCTTTAGTTAACTATTTGCCACTTGATTTTATATAATCTTATCCAAAGATAGAGGGAAAAAAGTCCTGACCAGGTGTTCCTACATATGCCTATTACAAATGAATGCATCAGGATGCATTCTTAGCTGTTCCATCTTTGCATGGATGTGTATACTTTGTACATCTTTCCTTTTGGACAGAGAAACTGTATGTGCTATGTGATCTTCTGATACTTCTAGCCTGTAGAAAAGAAGACTAGCCAGTCCTCCCCATCCTTCATGTTTCCTACTGAAATACAGTGTTGGCTATGCTTCTTGGTAACTGTAGACATTAAAAAGTCTAAGTACAGAAAAAAAAAAGTCTAAGTACAGGATTATGATTTTTGCATGAGTGTGGTGTTAACTACTTATATTTGGAAAGATTTCAGGTTCATTCTGTCTCCTTAGTTTATTTAAGGTAGGCCTCTATTAAAAACGTAGCTTAGTGCTAAAATCAGTGTAACTTCAAAATGGTCTAAAGTGTTTCTACAAATTAGAGATTGTCACTTACTTCATTTGTACCTCATCAAAAAAATAGGTTCATCTAGTTAAGCATATTTCATTAACCCTTGTATTTAGGAAAAGGACTAGGTTTGGAAAAGCATATCCTGATATACTGAGTTGTTGCCTATGAATAGAAAGTAAATTGTTTCCTGAAAGTTATGTTTTTGCTATTATTTTAGCCTTCATTCTTTCACTTTAAGTGGAGAAACAGTAAACATTTGAAGAGGTTTTGAGTTTTGTCTTTTTTTTGTCAGTGGAAATAACCATAGATGCTAACAAAATATCTGTGAAGAATGAAAGTTGATGGTTATCATTAGATCTAGCCATAACCTCCCCCATAGTTATGAAAAGTATCCTGAAATTTCACTATTATAAAAATATGATAATTACGGTTGTGAAAATTTTTTAAAGAAATCAAAGAAATATTACATTAAAGTGATATTTTGCCTACTATTCACCATCTAATAACTCTCCTATGTGGTCTAGAAGTCTTGTATAATAGAGATTTGCAGAAAAGATGAATTGCCTAAGAAGAAATGTTTTACATGGGTTTTTTGTTTTTGTTCCAATATTTGTTGGGTCAGGGCATATACTTGACCTTTTACTCTTTAGTGGATCCACTTTTGTCAAATACTTCCCTATACATTGTGTGATTCTGGATTCCTTATCTGCTGTTCTTGCAATTGTCTCAGGCCAAATAAATTTATGCTGTGATTCTTATGAGATTTGTATGAAGATGCCCTGATTTGTACAGACTGACCAGGGTAATACTACTGCCACGTAATCTGTATAGCTTTAGATATGTGCCATGAGCATTGAAAGAATGACACTTTTTTGTATTTGCTTTTTCTCCCTTAAGAGCACATTTTTCTTGTGCAAGGAGAAGAATTGCATTCTGGCTAAAATCTGTAGAAAGCAGATTTACTAAACTTAGAGTTACTTTTGTGGAAATTTTGAAATTCACTTTCATCTGAAGTGCCTTAAGTAGACTCTTAATTTACTTTTCTAGTAATGTTTTAGATATTTGTTATGCATCGTAAAAATACTTTTCAAAATTACACATTGTAGTAGCAAAGATAATCAAGTGTCTGGCTGTTTGCTTTTTGACCATATCAATAAAATTTTACAATCTAAATTCTTAAGTTTATTTATTAACATGTAAAGAGGGGTAAATTTAAAACACTAAATTAGGATTGTAATATTAGGTTATTTCATTTTTTAAAAAAACGTTTATTTAAGTAAGAGAGAAAGCGCATGAGCAGGGGGTGGAGCAGAGGGAGAGAGAATCTCAAGCAGATTCCCCCTAAATGCGGAGCCCGATGGTTGGTCACTTAACAGACTGAGCCACCCAGGTGCGCCTAGGTTATTTCATTTTGAGGTTATAATTAAGTTTCTTACTGTCCTGGGATGCCTGGGTAGCTCAGCGGTTGAGCATCTGCCTTCAGCCCAGGGCATGATCCCAGGTCTGGGGATCGAGTCCCACATCAAGCTTGCCGCAAGGAGCCTGCTTCTCCCTCTGCCTATGTCTCTGCTTCTCTCTGTCTCTCATGAATAAATAAAATCTTTTTAAAAAGTTTCTTACTGTCCTAAAGACAGTAAACTTGATAGGCCAATTTCCTTAAGTATTTCTAAATTGAGATACATTCTTCCAGGATTCCATGTTATCTTTCATTAATGTTGTTGCCCATTAGGTTAGTCAAAACAGCCAAGATAAGTAGATGAATAGCTGTCTTCAATGATTGGTCTTGTTCTGTACCTGTCAGTGAACATTGTGACTAGGTAATTACCTTTTTGTACTAAATAATTGATTTGAAACAGTTACTCAGATTTTCAAGTTATGTGAGACTGGACAATAGTACATTTCCAAACATAGAATGGGAACACTGGACAGGAAGTAGCGAGATCTGGCTTTTAAACAGCTTTTAGTCTTTCTGTCTAGCTATATGACCATAGGCAAGTCACTTGAAATAGGTTCTCTCAGGACCTATTTCCTTAATGTGAGTGTATTGGATTAGTTACTTCAGTGTTCTTCTAGCACCACTGTTTTAGGCACAAAATATTAAAAATATATTTAAATTTGAATTGAAATTCAAATATCATTTGTGATATTTGGGTTTGGTATTGAATTAAATCCGTTGAAGTGTAGGATGTTTTGTAATCAGACTTCTGAAGAAGCCCTGAAATGTTTGTAGAGGCCATTATAGCTGCAAGTTGTTTAATATACATTGAAATTTTTTAGAAAGGATATACTTGAAACCAGTATGTTAATATCAGATCTTGATTCAAATGACCAGGTATAAGCAAGAATGAAATCAATAACTGTATGCTAATATTGACTTACAGCTGGAAAAAACTTATGATGCCAATTTATGATGCCTGGCCATGGCTCTGCAGCCAGCAGTTGCAGGTAGAGAACTTCAGGTCTGAAGTTCTTTTTGTGACCTTCAATTAAAATTAATGAAATGTTTTTCCCCCTCAAACACAGCTCAAACATAATTTCTGGGAAGTTTTCCTGACCTCCCACTTTGGGTTCTTTACCCTTCCTCTTTTACTTAGTGCATGCTGATCTCTGTTATTCTATCTTGTAATTACCAGTTTTCTCCCATAATCTGTAATTTCCTTGAGAACAAGATTATTGTCTTATTCATCTTTGTATGCTCATTTTCTAAGATGCCTGCATAGTACATGCTCAGTAAATTTTCAGATGGAATAAAGAAAAAAAGATCTTTGTTCTTGAGTTCTTTACACTTTGTGGTGGAAATAAACATATAAACAAATGCAATCCTATGTGCTGGTAGGAGAATATGTGTTATGGTTCTAGAGAAAGGTTTCATTACTTTCTTGGGGTTGGGGTGGGAGGCAAAGGGAGAGGTTTCTGTGACAGAAATTGAAATTTTATTTTATTTTTTTGAAAGATTTTATTTATTCATGAGAGAGGGAGAGAGAGATAGGCAGAGACACAGGCAGAGGGAGAAGCAGGCTCCATGCAGGGAGCCCGATGTGGGACTCCATCCCGGGACTCCAGGACCACACCTGGAGAGGCCTAAGGCAGGCGCTAAAACGCTGAGCTACCCAGGGATCCCCAGAAATCGAAATTTTAAAGGATGATTAGTCCACAAGATAGATTTTTATGGTACTGAAATGCCAAAATATTCTTGCTAGTATTACTTTAGTACTTAAAATCTGAAGTCAGAGTCTTTCACATCCTGAGTCATGCCCAAGGAGTTACATGGTACTTGAAAACTACTAAATGAACAAAATGCACACTTAAAAATATTACCACCTTCATCCCTTTTCTTGTTTTAAAATTCTTTCAACATATCTCATTTTAATTACCTGTTCCCAAGTTATTTGTAACTCTGAACATCTTTTTTTAAAATTTATTTATTTATGATAGTCACAGAGGGGGGGGCAGAGACACAGGCAGAGGGAGAAGCAGGCTCCATGCACCGGGAGCCCGACGTGGGATTCGATCCCGGGTCTCTAGGATCGCGCCCTGGGCCAAAGGCAGGCGCCAAACCACTGCGCCACCCAGGGATCCCTGAACATCTTTTCTTATATTTATTAGCCACTTGTATTTCCCTTGCAAATAATTTGGGTCTCTATCAGATTCTCATGGAGTCTTCTTAGAACTGAATTGGGGAAACTTTAGGGAAACAGAAAGAGAGGAGAGTAGGGAAATCTGAGGAGAAAAGGAAAAAGAGGGAGGGAGGTCTCCAGGACTCCTGAAAACCCAACTTATTCTCTTTCTCCATGGTTAGATTTTTCTCCTCTCTCCTCCCTGCTTTTCCCCACCAGATGTAAAATTCATTCTCACAAGGCTGACCTCTTTTCTTTTGAGATTTTCTTTCTTTTTATTTATTTATTAGAGCGCGTGTGCAAGGGGGAAGGGGCAGAAGGAGAGGGAGAAGAGTCTTAAGCATACTCCCTGCTGAGCATGGAGCCCAGATGCACAGCTTGATAGCATCACTCTGAGATCACGACCTGAGCCAAAACCTAGAGGCAGAACCTTAATGACTAAAAAAAAAAAAAAAAAAAAGAACCTTAATGACTGTACCTGTACCACCCAGGTGCCCTGATACTTTCTTAATCATTCCATTTGGAAAGATTCAAGCCAGAAGTACAAAGAATTCTTAATCCTTCTTTCTGGCCCTTTTTTGGGGGTAACATTGAGAATAACATGTAGATAGATGACTGTGACAATTTAATCTCAGATTTTTATAAAATACCAATGTTTTGGTAATATAAAAAATACTGAGGTATCAGTATTATCATTTTGCTATAATATCATACATAATAGGTTCAAGTCCCAATAGCTAAGCAGAAGAAAGGAAGATAGAATTCCCTAATAGTGACTAGCTCGCTAGTTCTGTCAAATGTAAATGCACATTACGATAGTATTATGAATAAATGGCTGGAGGAGTTAAGATAGTGGATGACCCTAAGCTTGTCCCTTGAACACAGCTAGATATCAAATCATTCTAAACACCCAAGAAATCAAAGGTCTGAGAGAACAAACCTGCAAATCAACAAGTACAAAAGCGACCACCTTTTGGAAGGTAGGAAGTGCAGAGAGAATTGACTTGGGGGTGATAGAACTGTGGGTACGAGAGCGGGGAGGGAGCCTGCTTATGGAGGCCACTGCAAAGTAGTATAAGCAGAGGAGCACACAATTTGAACTTTTAGAAGTCTGCTACAGTGGGGGACATCCCTAGCTTAAAGGTGTTCAGGTGGCAAAAGGGGGCAGAATCCCAGGAGTGACAGCAGGGTCTGAGGATTCCCTGGGTTACAAGAACAGGTGGTGCCAATGTGCTGCACTGTTTCCAGGCAGAGAAGGAGGAAAGCCAGCTGAGAGCAGCGGGTCTTGGCTTTCTGCTATGTTTTGCCATAAACCGTGTACTGCTGTGTGGTTGTTCAACTGCTTCCTGGGACTGGCTGGCAAACAGCAAAAGGGCGGCAAGATCCTCCATCAGAGGAACAGTGCAGGTCCATGCCATGGGAATCCCCAAAATTTGGAATTTTGAAACTAATTTGCATGCCTGAGATAAAAATCCTTGGACACAGGCAGGGTGAATGCAGGGTTCAGACAGAAACCAGGGACACAAGAGGGGTGACTGAATGTTCTCCTGTGAGAGCTCACTGAAAAATAAGGTGGCAGGAACTGTCCACTTGGGATAGAAAGCAGGGTGCTGGCATATTCATCCCTCCCATCAGAGTTGAAACCTCTCAGGGATCAAAAGAGTGCCACCTAGCAGAGGATGGAGCCTCTTACACAATCCACTCACCCTTGCACCCTGAAGCCACACTTCCACTTGAAAGGAGTGTCTGAAAATCAGCCCAGCAGGCTCTTCTTGGAAAAGACCAGCACAAACAGCTCACTCCCACCAAGTCAGATTGCTACAAAGCTTCAGCTCTATAAGAAATGGGATCTAGGGATCCCTGGGTGGTGCAGCGGTTTGGCGCCTGCCTTTGGCCCAGGGCGTGATCCTGGAGTCCCAGGATCGAATCCCACATCGGGCTCCCGGTGCATGGAGCCTGCTTCTCCCTCTGCCTATGTCTCTGCGCCTCTCTCTCTCTCTCTCTGTGACTATCATAAATAATAAAAAAAAAGAAATGGGATCTAGTGTCCTTTTTACATTTATTCTTTCTTTTTTATTTTTTCATTTATTTCCTTATTTTGAAAATTCGTTTTACTTTGAAAATTCCTTTTATTTTTAATTTTGTAAAAAATATTTTGTTTAATTATTTATGAGAGACACAGAAATAGAGGCAGAGACACAGGCAGAGGGAGAAGCAGGCTCCATGCAGGAAGCCTGATGTGGGACTCATCCAGGGACTCCAAGATCATACTCTGGGCTGAAGGAAGGTGTTAAACCGCTGAGCCACCCAGGCAATCCAACTAGTTTATTTTCTGTTGTTTTTTGTTTCATTTTGTATCTTCTTTTGTTTTCTAGACAAAATGATGAGATGAAGAAATTCACCCCAAAAGAAAGAACAGTAATTAGAACTCATAGTCAGGGCTTTAATCAATACAGATATAAGGAAAATGTCTGAACTAAAATTTAAAAGAAAGATTATAAGGATACAATCTGGACTTGAAAAAGCATAAAAGACACTGGAGAATCCCTTACTGCAGAGATTCTAGTCCGACCAAAATTGAAAATTCTATAAGCAAGATGCAAACCCAAATGGAGGACATAAAAGTGAGGATGGATGAAAGAGAGAAGTGGGGGGATCCCTGGGTGGCTCAGCAGTTTGGTGCCTGTGGCCCAGGGCATGATCCTGGAGGCCCAGGATCGAGTCCTGCGTCAGGCTCCCGGCATGGAGCCTGCTTCTCCCTCTGCCTGTGTCTCTGCGCCACCCCCCTCTCTGTCTATCATGAATGAATGAATGAATGAATGAATAATAAATAAATAAATAATAAAGAAGTGAATCAGTGATACAGAAGATAAAATTATGTGGGGCACCTGGGTGGCTCAGTCAGCTAAGCATCTGCCTTTGGCTCAGGTCATGATCCCAAGGTCCAGGGATCGAACCCCATGTCAGGCTCCCTCCTGAGCAGAGAACCTGCTTTTCACTCTTCCCTCTGCTCATGCTCTCTTTCACTATCTCTCTCAAATAAATAAATAAAATATTTTTAAAAAGAAGATAAAATTATGGAAAATAATGAAGCTGATAAAAAGGAGGGAAGAGGTAATGGATCACAAAGGTAGACTTAGGGAATTTAGTGACCTATTACAAGAATAGCATTTGTATCATACAAGTCCCATAAGGTGAAGAGAGAGAAAAGGGAGCAGAAGGTTTATTTGAACAAATTATAGCTGAAAATTTCCCTAGTCTGGGGAAGGACACAGACATCAAAATCTAAGAAGAGGGGTAGCCCCGGTGGCTTAGTGGTTTAGCGTCGCCTTCAGCCCAGGGCGTGATCCTGGAGACCCGGGATCAAGTCCCACGTCAGGCTCCCTGAGTGGAGCCTGCTTCTCCCTCTGCCCCCCCGCTCTGTCTCTGTCTCTAATAAGTAAATTTTTTAAAAATCTTTAAAAAAATCTAAGAAGAACAGAGAATTCCCATTATATTTAACAAAACCCAACTATCACTAAGGCATATTATAGTCAAATTCACAAAATACACAGACAAAGAAAGAATTCTGAAAGCAGCAAGGGAAAAAAAGTCCTTAACCTACAAGGGAAGACAGATCAGGTTTACAGCAGATATGTCTACAAAAACATGGCAGACCAGAAGACAGTGGTAGGAAATATTCAACATGCTTAATGTGAAAAATATCCAGCAAGGCTGTCATTCAGAATAGAAGGAAAGATAGAGTTCCTCAGACAAACCAAAACTAGAGTTTATGACCACTAAGCCATCCTTGGAAGAAATTTTTGGGGGGACTCTCTTTTTTTTAGATTTTATTTATTTATTTGAGAGGGGAATGAGGGGAAAGACAGAGAAAGAATTCCAAGCAGACACAGAGCACAGAGCCCAATGCAGGGCTTGATCTTATAACCCTGATATCATGACCTAAGCTGAAAGCAGTAGTAGGACACTTATTCAACTGTGCCACCCAGGCATCCTGAGGAATCTATGAATGGAAAAAAAAAAACCCAAAAGCGATGAAGACTAGAAAGGAACAAAGACCATGACCAGAAACACCAACTCTACAGGAAACACAATGGCCCTAAATGTGTTTCTTTCAATAATCACTCTGCATGTAAATGAACTAAATTCT